CATGGACACGAACTCAAAGGGAGCCAAGACCTACACCGCAAGGCTTGGCGATCGGATTCTTTGGGACCTTCATGAGGACAGAGATGTCTACAACGAGATATGGCAGATCCCTGTGGTCCCAATGCCTAAGGAGAGGCAAGTGGCAGCAAGCGTCAGCACCAAAGGTGGAGCGGTTGGTAGCGGCGATTACGCGGACGGTCGCGCTAAGGAGAAGGAGTCCAAGAAGTGCAATCTTGGAGGGACCAGCAAGCTTGGTGAACCTATGGAGAGAGGTGCAGCAGCCAAGGAGCAGCAAAAGGGTGAGGAGAACCCCGAGACAACAGCGGAGGAGGACTACGGAGAGAGTATGTGGGGCGCTATTGCGAGCGCGGCATTCTCCAATCCAACTTCGGCTACGGGGGAGTGTGATTGGCTCACCTTGCATCAGCGCATGGGGCATGTGGCCCTGCCCATCTTGCAGCAGCTAGTAGAAAATGAGATGGTTGCTGGCATACGTGTGAAGGGGGAGCCCGATGAGGTACTTGGCTGCCCGACGTGCATGCAAGCCAAGTTCACCCGTTTCCCATTCTCTAGTTCGGAGGCAACGGCTAAGGCACCACTTGATGAGGTGGTGATGGACGTGGTGGGCCCCCTGAAGCTTGGAGCTGCTGGAGCTGAGTACTTCCTCACTATTGTGGACGTCTACACCCGTATGACTTGGGTGTACGTGCTGGCCAAGAAGAGCGACGTGGCTGAAACGTTGAAGGCGGATTGGTTCCCGATGGTGGAGCGGCAACAAGACCGTCTAGTCAAGTCAATCCGCACCGATCGAGGGGGAGAGTTCCTGAGCAAGGAGTTTGGGTTGTGGCTGAAGAAGAATGGTATTCGGCACTCCCTCACCATGCCATACTCCCCTGCAATGAACGGCATCGCCGAGCGAGCGAACCGCACAATCACGGAGGCGGCACGCGGGTTGCTCATTGAAGCCGGGCTACCCGACTATTTCTGGCCTGATGCGGTGCGGAGCGCGTGTGTGGCCAAGAACCGAGCCTTGACTCATGTGGGAGCATACAAGTGGGTGCCCTATGTGGAGTGGCTAGGAAGGAAGCCAAAGGTGGATATGCTTCGGGTGTTCGGGTGCATGTGCATGGCGCTCGTGCCTAAGCATCTTCGGCACAACAAGCTTGGTGCCAAGGCGGTGTGGGCCGTGCACTTGGGCATGGCTCAAAACAGCAAGGGATGGCTTCTTTGGGACCCATTCACCAAGAAGTTCTTGGTGAGCAGGGACTGCAAGTTCATGGAGAACTTCATGTACAAAGATTGGAAGGCGGAGAATGAGGCGAAGATAGGCGTGCGGTTTGGGGAGGTGAAGAGTTCCGGTTTGGAGCATGTGGAGCTGCCTTTGGAGCTGAGCAGCGGCAGCACAACCACAAGGCAATCCTCCCTTGTGAATGGGGGAGAGGAGGCCAATGATGCAGAGGAAGAAGAGGAGGAGGTGCAGCAAGTGAGCGAGCGTGCACCGTCACTCCCTTCCCGTACTACGAGTGCTCCACGGATTCGAGCCACACCGCAGCAACGCCAAGGCCTTCAAGTGCCTGCAGCTGAGGAGGAAGGAAGGGGCAAGAGGAGAGTTCAACCCCCTAATAGGCTGACCTATGATGCGCCGGGAAAGCAGGGCAAGACAGCCCTGGCCGGAGCGGCATTGATGGTCGGAGACGACGAGGAGAGAGACTACGAGGAGTGTGCCTTCGCGTTCTTCTCTCCGGTGGAGATGCCGGGAGAACCAGAAACTCTCAAGGAGACTTTGGAGAGTAGTGATGCTGAGGAGTGGAAGAAGGCCATGGAGAGTGAGCTGAAGAGCATCAAGGAGAATGACACGTTTGAATTGGTGGAGCTACCGGAGGGGCGTACGGCGATAATGTCCAAGTGGCTCTTCAAAATCAAGTCGGATGCCGACGGCAAGATCGAGCGCTACAAGTCTAGGCTTGTAGCCAAGGGGTACCAGCAGAAGGAGAAGGTGGACTTCAAGGAGCTGTTTGCCCCTGTGGTGAAGCCGACGACGCTGCGAACCCTATTCGCGGGAGCCGCCATCAAAGGATGGGTAGTAAAACAAATGGACATCGTAACGGCATTCCTTAACGGCATCCTTGGGGAGGAGATTTTTATGGCGCAGCCAGAGGGGTTTGATGATGGTAGTGGCAGAGTGTGGAAGCTGAAGAAGGCCCTCTATGGGTTGAAGCAGGCCCCTAGGCAATGGTACATGAAGCTGCGCGAAGTGTTGGAGGGGATCGGCTTCACTCCCTCAACGGCCGATCACTCCTTGTTCATGCTTGGCGAGGGGGAGCAGAGGAGCTTCATGGTGGTTTATGTGGATGACATTCTTATATTCTCACCCTCCTCTGACCTTGTGAAGGAGGTGATGCTGAAGCTGCATGACAAGCTCAAGTGCAAGTCCCTTGGTGACGTGAACTTCTACCTTGGGCTCCACATCGAACGAGACGTGGAGAAGCGGAGCATGCGAGTGCACCAACGGAAGTACCTGGAGGCGTTGGCTGCCAACTTCGGCCAGAGTGAAGGTCATGTGGCTACTGCCTTTCCCTCTGGGTTCAAGTGTGTGAAGGGACCAGAGGAGGAGAGCGTTTGTGAAGAGGAGAGGCGCCGTTTTCACTCGTTGGTGGGCAGCCTCATGTATGCGGCGGTAAACACCCGACCGGATGTCGCGTTTGCTACCGGGCAGCTGGCTAGGGTTGTGCAATGCCCTAATGAGGAGCAGGTAGCAGCTGGAATGAGGGTGGCCAAGTATCTTGGCCAAACACCGACCGTTGGGCTGCAATACTCGGCGGCGGCACAAAGGCGCCAAAAGGGCGCGGATGGTGTTGAACCCGGGCGTTTGTTCCTCACCGCCTACTCAGATGCGTCATATGCATCGGAACCAGAGGACATGACAAGTGTGGGAGGCTTCATATGCTGTGTTGGTGGAGGCCCAACTGCTTGGGAGAGCAAGAAGCAGGTTGACCAAGCTTTGAGCTCGGTGGAGTCCGATCACATGGCACTCTTCTGTGCCGTACGGGAGATTGTGTTGCAGCGGCGTTTGTTGGCTGAATTGGGGGAGGAGCAGCAAGGACCTACCCCACTCTACTGGGACAGCCAGGGTGCCATTGCTCTTGCTAAGAACCCTGTGTTGCATGGACTCACAAAGCACATGAGGGTGAAGTGGCATTGGACGAGGAGCATGGTGACCGCGGGTGAAGTTGAGTTGCGGTACGTGAAGACCACGGGGCAGCCGGCTGACATGATGACTAAGAGGCTGGTGGAGCAGCAGCATTGGAAGTGTTGCAAGCTGGCTGGGATGGCTCTGAACTGAGAGAGCAACATATCCTAAGGCCAACAATCCGAGGGGGAGTTTGTTGGTGCAACCCTACGGTTTGCACTCGGCTTGTTGTCCGTGTGCGTGCATGTGTGTGTGTATGGAATGGTATGAGGGCATGGGATAATATATATTTCATGCTTATAATTGTGTGTGAATGTTGAGTCTTGATGTCGAGTGTGTGTGTCGAGTCAATAGCGAGTTATCGCTAGACGCGTGTTACGCGGTCGTTTGTGTCTCGCGCGCGGTTTCTATTTTTGTCGTGCGCGGTTTCTATTTTGTGCTGTGTCGAACGTTCTGTGTGTCGCAGATGTGTGCAGCAGACCCATCAAGAACTCAAGGATGAGTTTGTGATGAAGAGCCCGAGCCTTGGTGTCAAGCCTCAAGTGATTTCGAAGCTCGCCAAAAGGGTACACCTCAAGATATTAAAGATAGTTACATTACTTTGTGTAGTGTAACATTTCACTTGGTGTAGGCCCTAGTGAAGGGTAGTTTCGAAACCCTTCGTGGTTGGGGACAGTGTGGCACTGTTACACATCACTGTACCTCGGCTCTTGGGGTTTGTAGGAGCTGGGAGTCATTGCCAACTCGTAACTCTTCATATCTCTTCCTATTTTGTCTTCTAAGAATATAGTGGCTGCCATAGTGCCGTTCGTTCAAACCAACAATGTGTCGTCAATACTTGGTCAAATCGTGCGAACTAAATTGCCTATTGTAGGCGACGTTTAGACGCTCCAGATCCAAGTTGAATCAGGTCATTTGAAGTTGTGACCAGAACGCTATGAACGTTTGAAACCGCTGTGCAGAAATCCGGCTGTGCACTCTATCTTTCGTTTTAGGCACATTGGAGCCTATTGTGACTATAATTCACACAAGGTATCCCAAGGTACAACCCCCCGATTGCACACTACAGTCGGGTCCAGCCATAATTCTCAAGCAACGCAGCCCTCAAGCACAGCCCAGCCCAGCCCAGCATACAGCACTGGAGGCCTGCCCATGCCCAACTTGCAGAGAGTGTTATTCCGGCAGGCCAGACCACGCCCACTGCTTCATTGCCGGCACCGTCACATTCGCCAGGCTGATGCGTCCCTTCCTCGCCACGAACTGCCCTCATGGTGCTGCAGGTCGGGGGTAGGTGGAGGAGGGTTGGAAGGCAAAAAAATGGGAGAGGGAAGGGGGGAGAGATGAGGGAGAGATGTGGAACTGAAAGATCCAAGGGAAAACGGACCGACCAAGGTAAAATAGGGAATCGTTTTCATATTCGCTGCGCTGCTACCCACTTGTCTGCTGTTGCTCCTTGCTCCACCGGGTGGGATGGCCCAATCTTAGCTCCCTCGGCTCTCTGTTCCAACCATGGGTACCGTGGAGGAGTGGATGCCTCTAGCGTCCAGACTCCGCATGCTTGTGTCTTAGACTCTGACGGAAAGTACGCCACTAATGAGACGCTCGCCGGGGCGGGCAAAAAAACCCGTCGGGCAGGCAAAAATAAAAACAAGGGAGGCTGGACGTTGCAACCGTACGCTGGATGCCCATGCTAGGCGTTTTGGGTGTCAATGCCATGGTATCAAAGCGGTTATGGTAACCAAGCCAGAGATTGTGTAAGGGTTATAGGTTCAGTCCTGCGTGGTATGAGTGCTTTCCCACCCACTCCATTATGCCCCTTTCAACCCGCCGGTTTGCGGGATTGGTGTATAATTTTTCTGTGAATGCGTAGAAGTGATATAAACAGGAGGAAGGGTGCCTCTGATAGGAGGCTTATCTGCTCTTCCCCTTTCGCCGGGGTTTCCCCCCCTCTCCAACCCCATCCCCCCAACCAGCCCCCTCAATACCCCTCCCATCCCCCCCAACCCCACCGCCCTTCCTCCCTTCCTCCCCGCGCTCCCTCCCCCTTCCCTCTTCCTCTCGCTCCATTCCCCCCTGGTGTGTCTCACCATCGCCAGGCACTAGGTGGCAGCCCTTGACGAGGCACAGCACGTGGGTCACCTGCATTCTGCCCCTGCCCACCAGCAGGAGGTGGGGGATGTGGGTACAGACAGATGATATGTCTAACGATCTGCTGGCACAACTCATGGGTCACATGCATGCTGCCCCTGCCCACCTGCAGGGGGTGACACGCGGATGAGGGGGGTGGGTTGGGGGCATTGACAAGTGGTTGGCGCAGGGACAGGTGGTGAAGAGAGGGAAAAGTGGCTGGTTATACCTGGTAAGAGAGGGCCAGTGGCAGGGAAGGAAGTAGGGGCACGTGGTGGCTGGGGCACGTGGTGGCAGGGGAACATGGTGGCAGGGGCACGTGGTGGCAGGGGCACGTGGTGGCAGGGGCACGAGGTGGCAGGGGCACATGGTGGCAGGGGCACGTGGTGGCAGGGGCACGTGGTGGCAGGGACACGTGGTGGCAGGGGCACGTGGTGGCAGGGGCACGTGGTGGCAGGGGCACGTGATGGCAGGGGCACGTGGTGGCAGGGGCACGTGGTGGCAGGGGCACATGGTGGCAGGGGCACGTGGTGGCAGGGGCACGTGGTGGCAGGGGCACGTGGTGGCAGGGGCACGTGGTGGCAGGGGCACGTGGTGGCAGGGGCACGTGGTGGCAAGCACGCAGGCATTGAATTGACGAGGCACAGCTCATGGGTGACCTCCATGTTGCCCCTGCCCACCTGCGGGGGCGTGGCCAGGTGGATGGTGGGGGACAGACGGACGGGGAGGCAGATGGATGGCATGGGCGGAGGCAGATCGGAGGAAGGGGCAGGCACGGTGTGACATGACAACCCGAATGGTGCATGCAAGCAGCTGTGCTGTGCAGCAGTAAGACAGGACATGGTTTGACACAAGGTGGAATGAGGAGATGAAGTGGCATGACCATCACATGACACGACATGGTTACGTTACAATGACATGAGTTGCCACAGTACATTACATTACAACACATGGTTGTGTTGTGACATCACATCACACATACATAACATGACACGACATGACATGGCATCACATCGCATTAGATCACACTGACGAGGCAGGCAGCGGTGGAATAAGTAGGACCTGCCTCGTCGGTGTGATTTCAAGGCACACACACAGGCCATGGAATGTGGGACACGGACTAGAGAAGTGCTTGTACTCGTCACATGACATGGCATGGGACAAGGCAAGGCAACTACAGCACAGCACTTACGAACTGCTTGTACTCGTCCAGATTGAGGGCGGTCTTGGGACTAGAGCGCTAGAAGGTACTTTATGCCCTCGGGGCTCCACGACGCGCCCAGGAGGGGCTCGCTGGGAACGCCCTCACTCTTCGCCACGTCAGCTGCCACGTCGCCAATGACGTCAGCAGCCAGGCTGGCATTGGCCAAGGGGACGACGGGGTGAGGGTCCATCCACCCGCTTATGGCAGTCATGGGGATGTAGAGCGCCCCGTCGCGGGATGATGGGGATGTGCATTGTGAATGTGATGCAAACGTTGATGCTGCTGCTGTTGCTGTTGATGGTAACAATTCTGAATTTGTGGCTGCAGCTGCTTCTGCTGGCAATGCTGCTGCGGGGGCTGGAAGGGATGCTGGTGGTGACAGGGTGTGCGGTGGTAAAGACGGCGGGGACTGAGAAGGCGGAGACCGAGAGAGAGGGGATTTTGAGGGTGGGGATTGTGAGGAGGTTGGGTATTATTCCGTTGGAACCACTGATTCTGTCGGCAGTGCAGCTCCTGCCAGCGATGCCAGTGCTGCTGACGCCACTGACACTAGCGGTGCTGCGATAAACAGCTCAACCGAGGGGGGTGGCAATGAAGAGAGGGCGAGTTTTTGCAGAGCAGCGGCGGCAGGGTGGGCAGCAGTACCGACACCTACAGTCTCACTGGAACCAGCGCCCTCTGCAGCAGCAGCGCTTCCAAAGCCGTCAACACTGTCCTTGCAAAGAGCAACCTCTACTGTCTTCCACTCATTGCCACTCATGCTATCACTTGCGCTGCCGCTGCCGCTACCACTGCTACTGCGGCCTAAGCTTTCAGCAATGCCATCACCGTCACCATCACCACCACCGCCGCCGCCACTGCCACTGCCACTGGCGTTCCACACCGGCCGCTAGACGAGAGTGGCGGCGTGGTACAGATGGGGGAGAAATGACATCGCGAAAAAGGACTTGCCTATAGGCTGCGGGAAACTTGCAAAAAAGTTACTTTTTAGATACGTTGGTTTTGCAACTTCGCAGTGATGGACGAAGGTTGCAGAAATCCAAGTCACTGGAAAGTTGCAAAAAAGTTGCATTTCTGCAGCTTTCCCGCAACACAACCGCAACTTAGCGGACACTTGTTGGATACATTTCAGTCACATGTATGCAATTTCACTACATGCCACGTGGCACGCGTACAGTTTCGACTTTGAAGTGTACGTACGCTGGTACGTTCACGAAGATATTTCGCCACGTAAGCAAAGATGTTTCTGCCAGGTGTCATTCTCGATGTGTGAACGGCAGCTAGCCAGATGGGCGAATCAGACATGACCTTGACGTGTGCGAAAATCTATTTCTACTGGCCACTGATTTGCCTGAACAGTACAAGAGGAGCATTCGTTACAGCAGCTTTCTGTTACTTGTTTAGTGTGAGGATTACAGTTTGGTGAAAATCTGTAATAGGCATTCACATTTGCATACAAATGTATGAAGTATACACCTCGCACTAACACTACGTAAAAACAAACACAGCTAACACCAAGAACGGCTACGTAGCTTCACGTCTTATGTGGAGGGCACAAGCTTCACGGCTAGTAATGCGATTTCGACAACGCGCTGCGTGGCGACAAACGCGATGACGCGATGTGGCACTGCCACTTGAAGTGCCACTTGAAAGTGTGAAGTCCAAAAAGTTGCGGGAAAGTAACTTAAAAGTTGAAGTTCCGCAACTTTCCGTTTGGTGAAAAAAAGTACAGGTCAAAAGCTCATGTGCACGGGTCACTTTCGAAGTTGCGGGAAAGTGACAAACAAGCAACATCAATGTCACACTGAACCCAACTTGAAAGTGACATGAAAGGTGACATATGTGTCTGTGAAACAAGTGAACAGGAATGAAAATGACTAAGTAAGAGTTGGGTACAAATACAACCCTAGAAAGCTGTACCCCATATGTACTACCCCACTATAGCCTACAAACATGCATCAGCTATAATACTCTGACACACCCCCATAGGCTAAGTGGGGGAGAACAAGGGGTCACAAGAACAGACAAGCAAAGCAAAGCAAAGCAAGCTCAGGGTGGATCACAAAGTCACCACACAGTCCAAGCACAAGAGCAGGGCCAGAGGCCAGTTCACATGCAGGAGTACAGACATATATATAAAACTAGACAAGCAAGAGCAGGTATATATATATATGTCACAGTACAAGTGAAGTCAAGAGGAGAGCAAGTGAGGCAAGACAGGTACAAGACCCAGCTGGGTGCAAAAGCGCTGATGGTCACAAGGCGCGAGTGCCTTGGTGAACACATCAGCAGTGTTGGCCTCAGAGGCCACGTACGCAAGTCGCAACTGACCACGCTGCTGCAGCTCACGAGCAAGGAAGAAGCGGAGAGCAATGTGCTTCGTTCTGTGCTCCAAGCGCTGCTCTCGACACAAGGCCAGCATGGCCTTGTTGTCTACGTACAGCACTGGAGGAGAACGAGGCGGCTCTCCAAGGTCAGTCAGCAGGTAGGTAAGCCAGCGAAGCTCCTGTGCAGCCATGGCCCCGGCGTAGATCTCAGCCTCACAACTGGAGCCGAGAACCGAAGACGAGCGAGTAGACCGCCACGAGACAGAGCCGGAACCAAGGCTGAAGGTGTAACCCTGTGACGACCGCTGCGTAGCCTGGTCGTCAGCCCAAGAAGCGTCCGCGTGGCCGGTAAGGACCACTGGACTCCGCCCTCTAAGCACTAGCCCCATGCCCGACGTACTGCACAGGTAGCGCAATACCCTCTTCGCTGCAGCCATGTGCTCCGGTCTGTGTCTCCCAGGAGCAACATAGCGTGCAAGAATGCTCAGAGGGTATGCAAGGTCAGGTCGTGTGCAGGTCATCAGGTACATGAGGCAGCCAACAAGCTCTGCATACGGACCACTCGACTCTACGGACTCATCCGAAGGCAGAGCTGAGAGTGAGTGGCGAGTAGGCAGAGGAGTGGCCTGAGGCGAGGAGTACGTGAAGCCGAAGCGCTGAAGGACCTGCTGCACCATGTGTGACTGAGTCAAGGTAATGGTGCGGCGTGCTCTGTCCCGAGTGATCTGCAAGCCAAGGTAGCTGCGCAGTTCACCCAGGTCTGTGCACGTGTGTCTCTTCAGCAGCTCGGACTTCACGTAGGCGAGTCCAGCAGTGTCCGCTGTGGCAAAGACCAAGTCGTCAACGTACACGAGGATGTAGAACGGCGGCAGGGAAGTGTCGGTGCGAAGAAACAGCGATGGGTCAGCAGTAGAAGGAGCAAACCCAAGAGCCGCAAGCGTAGTCCTCAGTGTGTCGTGCCACTCACGCGGTGCCTGGCGGAGACTGTAGACTGGCCGTCGGAGGCTCCACTGGGTGCCAGGAGGGAAAGTCCCAGTGAAGCCAGGTGGACGGCGAAGCCAGATCTCCTCGTGCAGGCTACCCTGCAAGAACGCAGTGCTGAAGTCGAGAGAGTGAAGCTCGTAGTCGCGCTGAGCGGCTATGTGCAGCAGCACCCGAAGAATAGTCATCTTCGGGGTGGGAGAGAAGGTCTGAAAGTAGTCAACTCCGTGCCGCTGACTGAAGCCACGAGCAACGTACCGTGCCTTGAAGACAAGTGGAGAGCCCGGCGGCCGCTTCACCCTGAAGATCCACATGCCACTGACGATGTTCGCCCCAGGAGGGGGAACCGCGTCAACGTAGGTGCCTGTGGACTTCCAGGAAGCCATCTCTGCATCCATAGCTGCCTGCCACTGAGAGGAGTAGGGACCCTCTACGGCCTCCGCGTAAGAACGCGGAGTCGGGATGTCTAGTGCATCCGGGTCTCCCTCAGGGGCAAGCAGTACAGACGCGAGATGGGGTGAAGCAGCCGCTAGACACTGTAACTCCTCCTGCCTGTCCTCTAGGACGTCCGTGCCAAGAGCACACTCACCCCCGACGGACGGAGGACAGACAGACGCAGACTCAGCAACAAGACTAGCAGCGTAGTTGAGACGACAGCGAGCAGCAAAGTCGACGAGCTCAGCGACAAGGGCAGACGCAGCAGTGGACTCAAAAGAGGGGTCAGTGACAACAGTAGCAAGCAGACGCGTGACAGTAGGACTGGCAGCACGAAGAGAGTCCGACTCAGGGTCGGCAAGCGCAGGAAGAGAGGACTCAGGAGGAGAAGGCAAAGGGGCACGCAGAGGAGCAGTGGACGGACGCAGAGACATCCGGTGCGTGCCAGGGACAGGAGGAGGACGCTGACGCGAACTGCGACCACTAGCGCGAGCAGTACGAACAGGCGACGCGGGACGAGACGCAGGCTCACGACGCTCAGCAAGACCTTCAGTAGGACCAGTGTAAGGAGAGGGAGCAGGCAGTGGAGAGGAAGGCTCCAGCAGGGACTGCGACTGGACAGGCGGTGGACCCTCTACTGGAGGAGAAAGACCAAGAACCTGCTGCAGGAGCGGAACGAAGTACGGCCGAGGCCGCGAGGCAGCTCCAGCCTCAGCAGAGACAGCACCAGCACCCTCAGCGACAGCACCAGCGCCACCCACACCTCTTGCGGCAGGACCAACAGCAGTAGGCTCAGCACCAACGCCCTCAGCAGCTCCAGCTCTAGGAGGACCCGC